CAAGGACGAAGCACATTGATGTTCGGTATCATTTCGTACGAGAAATCATAGAAGAAGGTGGATTCACGGTGAAGAAAATTCATACTACAGAGATCCTGCTGATATGCTGACAAAGGTGGTGACTGCGGTCAAGTTTCAACATTGTTTGGATTTGATCAACATTGTTGAAAACTGAAGATTAAAGATGAAGACACAATCAAAATTTGTTATTGAGAGAAAATTGAAGATGTGGAATTTTGCCAAGGTGGAGATTTGTTGAAGTTTGGCAAATTTTTGTTCCACATCGGTGGGCTCTTGAGTTTTGGGGGGATTTTCCCCCTACNTACATTTGTCTTCCGCAACATATATAATGTATGTGTGTGTGTTGTGTCACCTTATACGTACAAAAAGAAGCGTCGGACTTTTAACTGGGAGAAATTCAAAAATAGCCAGATTTACAAGTGGTCATTCAAAAATAGCCACAGTTTCAAAAGTAATCGAAGTTTAGTTACTTTTCATGTAAAGATAAATTTGAACGAAAACATTGTTCAAAATCCGGAAAAATACTCCAGCATAATATACTAGAGTTCCAGTATATTATACTGGAACTCCAGTACTGGAACTCTAGTCTAATATACTGGAGTTCCAGTATAATATACCGGTCCAGCATAATATACTGGAGTTTGGAGCACCGATGCTCCAGTCTCCAGTATATTATACTGGAGCCAGCAAAGTATACCGGTCCAGCATAATATGTTGGAAGTTCATACACAGGTGCACCGAACTCCAATATATTATGTTGGACCGGTCTCTGTTGCAGCAAAATAGTGGCTATTTTTCAATGACTTGGCAAACGCTGGCTATTTTTGAATGACCAGTCCGAAAACTGGTTAGACCGTGCTATTTTTACCTTTTAACTTTGTACTTTTGTAGTAGTAATTAGAGTATTATTTTGCACCCTTAATATATGCTCTCTTTTTTATTTCTCGTATTCTTTTATTTTTCACAATTTGCCCCCCTAACCTATTCATTTTAAAATTACAAAATTGCTCATTCCGTGGGGGATAAGATAGGGACTATATAATATTTTTTTACTTTTATGCATGGATAGTATAAAAAATATTATACAATCAGGTCGTTTAAAAGGCATTTATAGATAATTCCATTTAATAACATGGATTAGTAACCTAGAATAAAGGATAAGTGACATATCGTATAACAAGTTAAGTTACTCCAAAGTGTAAAAGAATTATTATATTGTCATTTTATATAACTTAAGATCTTCAGAAAGGAAAAAAGAAGAAAATAGAAGGGAGTGGGGAAATGAAATTCGTCATGCACCAATCTTGGTACTTTAATTTCAAGCTAGAGCAGATTATATGGTTCAAGCACTGATAACTTTATCAAGCGTCGTATAGTCGATAATGGATTATATGGTTCTATTGCAGAATTAAGATTTTGCAATTTCGTACTGTATGTTAAGAAGACTATTGGCAATGCAAAGATATCTGATATTGTTATGGGAAATGATTTTCTTTGGAATGCAATCATATGGAGATTATATGGTTCAAGCTCATTTTAACTCGATTGTTTTAGAACAGAGGCTTACTGTTACACCCTACAAGTCCCTCAGATATGGCATTGGCAGTAGATATTATTTACCCATGTTGATTCCTGCCACTGATCTGGAGCCGAGGGTCAGCCTCTCTACCTCCACAAGGTAAGGTAAAGTCTGCATACACACTACTCTCCCCGGACCCCACATGTGGAATTGCACTAGGTTTTTTGTTGTTGTTGATTCCTGCTACTAATTCAACATGTGCGAAGGGTAAGAGAGTCAGCTTTTGAAATCCAAGTGTAAGAATAACCACAAAATACGTGAGCGCTCCAGCACTCTACACGGACGGCTCTTTAAAATCGCCCTCTCTTGCTTGAGGCAGATTTTAAGAAAATGTGATTGGAAATAGATTAAAGTTAAAACAATTTCTGCGCTATTCCCGCTTTTATATATGGTATAATTGTTTCTAAATTCACAAGGGCACGTAAGAAATTGGAAGGTATAAATTTATGCCTCAAAAGAATAATGTAACGCTATGAGGTCACTAAAGCTAATTAGCCGAAGCTGGAAAGAAATGTCTTTCTACAATATGCCGACAAAACTCATTGCTAGAAAATCACACCACTGGCAGAACAGACATCCGGTCCCTTGAACTGTCCCTTTAAGGCAGCAGAACCTGGAATGCAAACTAGAAAACCATCATTTTCCTGTTGAGCAAAAACAAGAAAAGATCTCAAACCGAAAAATACTTAGATTTTCTTTCAATCTTTGATGCCGGCCAAAGAAATTGACACAAAACTACTCCAAGTAGTAAGTGGGACTTTTACACAGTAAGGCAATGGCTTATAGAAGCTGAATATTCGTTCCAATTAATCCACTGTAGTCAAATATTTAACTATCACTATGAAGGTTGAGAGCTGCAGAAAACAATTATTATAATCTTTTGCCCGTCCCACTAGAAATTTGGTGTATAACATGTACTCCTGTAAGAGAAACGTATGAATCAGGGTATTGTCTGGTAACATGCCTTTCTTCGATTTTATTGCAACAATGAATTTTGATGCATTTGTTTCAATCAACTAATATGTCGAACAGTGTTGTTAAAGGCGTATTTGAGGCAGGTTTAGAGATTAGACCGTAAAACTAGGGGTCACATGTCAGGCACTTCATTTAGCTTAGAAAAGCTTTGGTGGAGGTACTAAGTATAAGGGACCACGTCCCTCTAGTTAATCAAAACAATAACATTGTACTACACACCAGAGAGTTGGAAAGTAAAATGAGACTTGAAGTGACCAATCAAGTAGACAAATAAATTGCTTAATAATTTTTTCCAGGAAAATCAATTGCGATTACAGTGTTGCAGAAATTTATTTCTCACCTTAAGAACGAATTACATACAACTGGAACCATATGTCTTGGCTGAACCTAATGACGTGGTGTAAGAACTGCAAAAGCATCAACAGAAAAAAGTATGGATGAGAAAAAGAGAGAACAATGGCAACATCAATAACCAAAAAATATGCAACAAACAGTGATGATAGAGAAGCCTGAAAATAAGCTGATGAAGAATTGCAGGCAACTGCCCGAATTTATGCAAAGAAAATAAACAAGGTGGGCCACTTGTAGCAACATTTCAAGCTCAAATGATAAAGATGTCAAGAGTAGAAATTACTATTGAGCCAGGTACCCAAGAAAGCATGATAAAGAATCAATTGCTTAAACCTTCCCACACGGAAGAAGAACAACTCCAAATGCTACATTGTTTGTCTTACACA